CCGCCGGCCTCCGCGTCCCAGAATCCAAGATGGCGGGATCCAGGCGGAGGGGTCCGCGGGCCGGAGTCCGGCCGCTCCTCTGCGCCCTGCTGCTGTCCTGCGGCCGTTTTGTCGGGGGCGACGGCGTGGGAAGCAGCCCCGCGGCCGCCGGCGCCGCGGGCACCCCGGGCGCGCTGCCACATCGCCGATTCGAGTACAAGTACAGCTTCAAGGGGCCGCACCTGGTGCAGAGCGACGGGACCGTGCCCTTCTGGGCCCACGCGGGGAGTAAGCCGGGGAGAGGGCTGGGGGCCCGGGTCCCTCCCGCCGTCCGCGGCCTCGCCGCCTTCCCTCGCCGGCGCCCTGGAACGCCGAGGGTCCGGCTCCAACCGCCGCACCCCGTCCGCCGCGGGGGTCCCTCTCGGCGGCCCTGCCTCCGGGGCCCCCCGGCCCGCCAGGCTCGGCCGACCTGCCCCTGCGTCCTCCCCCGCCCTGGCTCGGGCCCCCCGTCTTCCCTCCTTGGGCCTCGGGGGTGCTTTCCGTTTGCCCTAAAGGTGTTCTGTTACCTGCCACACTTTCAAGCACTCAGACTCGCTTCCAGGCCTCACGTTTCACCCCAGCGCCTCGTCTCCAGGGGGAACGTCCCCCACCCGCAGCCATCCCCACGGGAGACCGGTTCCGGGAGCCCCCAGCCTGCTTTCCCACTCCACCCTGCTTGCTTTTCTCTGGGGTTCGCAGGGGGGCATGCTCCGGTTTGACGTCTCCAAAGATGGCATGTGCGGGCCTTCGAGTAATTTTCAAGTTTTTGACGTTCTTAAATCTTGGAACTGCACCTCACCTTTGCTTCTCAGTGACTTGGTGTGGTCTTTGGTCTCCTATCTTGTAATCAGCACGTTATGTAACTTTTTAGGAGAAGGGATATATATATATATATATATATATTTTTTTTTTTTTTTGGTATTGATTGTTTCTGAACCTGAGACTGAGAATAACATTACATCTTCAGCCCTTTAAAAAAAAAAGTTTTTTTCGCACATTGAAATCACCTTGCCTTCATGTTTTATTCACTGTCTGTGACACTGTTACAGACAAGAGAGCCTCGCTAGAGCATTTATTTATGTGAACGAAAACATAGCTGCACTTTTTAGTGCTGATGTGTCACTGCTGACTAAGGAATCAGCCTCTGTTCCATAAGCTCTGTTCAGTGACCATCAGAAACACCCTTTAGGACAAGTGGCAAATGCCTTTATGAGATGAGAAGCTCTGACAATTTGAATTCTGTCTTTATGTGTGATTAAGTAATCACGTCTATGAGGCTTGTATACAGCATCTTAGATCATCCAGTGCTTGACACAAAATGTTTCACTTCTAAAAAGTAATCATGAATAGAAAGCACACTTTTAGGAAGGGCAGCTTCCCTCAAATTAATTTGTAATTAAAAGGTACAAATTTCAATTTGCTTTAACGACCATGTCATCAAGTGTTTGAAGTAGAGAGCAATTATTTTGTTACTCAGCAGTCGATAATTAGGCACCCACACAGCAAGGGTATATTGTTCTTAGTATACAAAGATGATGCAAATAATAACAAACACAAGGTTTTGAATGTTTTGTTTTTATCTTTGGAATGATGATGAGTTTTTCAGTAGCGATGATAGATTCATTCACACTTTTTCACTTCTGCAGCTCTCCATCACCTGCCTCTTTCTGACACTCACATACACCACACTGACCAAATAGGAATGTGAATCAACTACTCAAATCAGTTACCTTGACTTTCTTTACAGAGCCATAACCAGAATCTGCTGCAGAAATGTCAGGATAATGTACTTTGGTGAATTGAAGTTGTGTGGCTAGATTGAAGAGATTAGTATTTTAGTCATGATCCATCTAGCTACTGGCTCTGGGAATCACTGCTGCGACTATCCTTTGCTTACATTGTCACTGTAATTTTTACGTAAGTCTTAGTGTCCTCAACTCCATTAATCATTTTTTTCCTTTTCATTTTGCCCTACCAGCTTTGATTTAAAACATAGAGAAAATTTAAGATCTAGTTTAAACACAGCCCTTTTCCTTCACCTCCAAATTAAGACCAGACCCATGGTGTTTCCCTTTTTTAACTCAGATGTCCTTTTGCACTGTCAGTACACATCCTTAAGTCCATAAGGGCAACAAATGATAACGATTTGCAACCCTCGATAGCTTTCAAAGCCCTTTCACCTTCATTCTCTGATTTGATCCTTAGTGGGCAGGGCAGGTGTTATCTGTTTTATGGATGAAAAAACTGATGTACAGTAAGGTTAAGGTTTTTGAAAAAGATTGCACAGCTAGTAAGTGTCGGCAAAATTGAACTCAAACTTAGGTCTTCTAATTCAGTGTCCAGCACTGTGGCTGCCCTGGGTGCCCACCCCTCAACCTTTGAGTGTTTGAAAGTGATAGTGACAGTGACTGATCCTACTAAAGTACTTCAACTTTTCTTTTTGTCTGCTTTTTTCTACCTGATATTGTAGTTATAGTTGACGTATTTCCTAGCATGGATGTCAGAACTGGTTAATATCTGAGAGGCTGCTAGAATTGTTCAAATTTTAGGCCTGGTAGGCTCTTAATAATTACCTAGTCCAACAATAGGAGGAATAGCTGGCATTTGTTGAAACATTATATGCATTTATGTACGTATGAGATTGTGAGAGAAATGAAATAACTTGTCTAATATCAAGCGATTGTAAATATTGGAACTGGGACTTGAACCCAACCTGGAGATGTAAACCACTTTTGGGAATCACTGTTTTCTCTGAGAATCTGCTGAAGCTGAAGAATTGCTTCTTGAATTGAAATTCAGTTGACCCTCTCCCTAGAAGAAGGTACATATGCACAGTATTTTGCATATAGTTTTTGGGGTATTTATGGAAGTGATCAAGCCCAGCCCCTTCATTTTACAGGTGAACATATGGTGAACCCAAGAGAGTAAGAGAATTATTTGCACAAAGTCACACAGCTGAATTGAGACTAGGAACAAGTCTCTTGATTCCTAGTGGTATGTTCTTTTCACACTGTTTGAGTTTTCTAACATTTGTAAATTGGTAAAGTGCCTTGCAGTTTTAAAAATAATAAGCAAGTTTTCGAGGTATTACAAAAATAATACTATGAGAATCAAGTAGTCACTTGCCTTTTAAGTCATAATTCCCTCCCTCCTGTTCCTTTTCCCTGGAATTTTTAGTGAATGATTATAACTTTAATTTTGTTTGTTTTTGCAGAGATATGTCTCTGTTTAAAAAATATAGGAGGTGTTGACCCTAAATGTTTAAAGTTGAAACTGTAAACATGAAATTTTTTCCTAATGATTATTGTACTAGTTACTAAGTTAAAATTTGATCTCTATAGGGATAAGTAGCAGCTTGGAGATGATTTGTTGTTTTTTACCTGGTTATAACGTAAAGCTTTTCCCCCCTGATTTCTATCCTAGATGCTATTCCAAGTTCAGATCAAATTCGAGTAGCACCATCTTTAAAAAGCCAGAGAGGATCAGTGTGGACAAAGACAAAGGCAGGCTTTGAGAACTGGGAAGTTGAGGTGACATTTCGAGTGACTGGACGAGGTCGGATTGGAGCTGATGGCCTAGTATGATCACTTCTTTTACTTAGAAAATGTACATAAATGTATATACCACTAGCCTCTAACTGTTCTCTGTTTCATATTTGCAGGCAATTTGGTATACAGAAAATCAAGGCTTGGAGGGTCCTGTGTTTGGATCAGCTGATAGGTGGAATGGAGTTGGAATATTTTTTGATTCTTTTGACAATGATGGAAAGGTATATTTATTGTCAGGACTGTTACCCACTTTAATATATCTGAGAAATATAGCTTATTTAACACTTTTGTCAGTTTAATAGTAGAGAACTCCCCAAACTATATTATAAATATAATAATCCATCTTTATATAGCTGGAAACATTGATATAAAGCTACATCTGTATGATTTTTCATACACCAACTTGAAGTTATAATGAAGCCTGTGGGAACTTTGCAATTACCCCTCTCTTCACCATCCTATTTGTACTTAGTAATTTTGATGGATATCCTTAAGTCTTTAGTGTTTAGGAGACTGAAACAGATTGCTTTCATGAGACCTCCAAGTGTGTGACTGTTGCTAGTTCACATACTCATATCTTTTCATATGATAATTATTCTTTTTATCAGGCCACCTTTTCTGATGATCTCTCTTAAAATAGTTAAAAACAAAATGTACTTACATGTTGGAAACATTAACTTGTAGTTTAGGAGGCTTCAGATTGATGATTTTTCTCATTAGCTGGTCATTTCTCTACTGATTTTCAGAGGTTATTATTAGCAACTTAAAGGAGAACTTTAATAATTCCTTGAATGCCAAGGTCATGTCATTTAAAATTTTGAGTTTTAGAATCTTGGATATATAAGAGACCTCATAGCACATCAAGAATGATTAGAATTCATTGATTAAGGACATTAAAACAAGTTTTCTTTATTTTTAGAAAAATAATCCTGCTATAGTAATTATAGGCAACAATGGACAAATCCATTATGACCATCAAAAGTAAGTGCATGTTTTACATTAGTCCTGATTTCAACTTCTCTGTGGAAGTGAAATGTATTGTTCATGAAATGTATCGTTTCAAATCTGAACACTTTCCAAATGAAATAAGATTCTTTTTCTTGATATGTACTTTGTAACTTGGTGGAAAGGTTTTATTTTATTTGGTTCTGTTTTAAAGTTTTTTTTGAGAACCACCTCATATTTTCAACATAGAATGTGTTTTTATTTAACCTTAAATTATATAGTACTTCTGGAAGTTTATAGACTATTCCTGGCTCTCAGTGATACCACTAGTCATGTATTTTCATCTTTATTCAAAAGGATCTTTCAAAAATCAAATTGAGTCTTGACCAAACTGATGAGTAAGCAATTGATGCCCCGTTATACAGCTTTCATTCTGTTTTATTTAACGACTCTCAGTGGTTTAGAAAGCCTCCTAAGTGTTTAGTACAGTCAGTCCTCTGTATTCATGGGTTCCACATAGGTGGAGTCAGCCAACCATGGGTCAAAAATATTAGGGGAAAAAATACAAATTTTAAAATATTTACATAGTATTTACATCGTATTAGGTATTATAAGTAATCTAGAGATGATTTAAAGTATACGGGAGAATGTGCATAGGCTATATGTAAATACCACATCATTTTATATCAGGAACTTCAGCATGGGAGGATTTTAGTATCCGCGGGGGTCCTGGAAGCAATGCCCCATGGATACTGAAGGACGACTGTATATTTATAATGTATATGAGTTAGGTATGTACATTTATTATTTTTACATGTCTGCTGTGGAGGAATTACATTTTAGCCAATCAGTGCACTGTAAGAAAAATTACTTACTTGTACATGCTCCTGGTTGACTGTTTCCTGCCTCGGTGATTCTCAACCCTGGTAGTACATCACAACTCCTTCTGGAGCTGTTGAAAATAGAGGTGCCCGGGTCTCCTTCTGTTGATTCTGCTTCAGTTGATTTGGGTAGAATCTAGGAACCTACGTTGTAAAAGCTCAGTGAATGATCCTGATTCTGCCCTGGCGTAGAGAACCACTGCCTTAGTCTCAGATGGAATCGTGTAACCTTCCTTTGCCGGCAGCACATGGTACCTCGGGCTTCTAATGTTATGCAGAGTTCCGGCAGAGAAAAAACGTGTGTGTCAATTTTGTGTCTTCTGAATAGATAACTTGAAATATCCCAAGACTTTGTGATAACCTAGTATTACTTTAATCTTCCTGAATTTTTAAACACTGAAAAGCGTTCAGATGTCTTGTCTGCTTCCCTTTCTCTCATAACTGCAGTGATGGTGCTAATCAAGCTTTGGCGAGTTGCCAGAGGGATTTCCGTAACAAGCCCTATCCTGTCCGGGCCAAGATTGTGTATTACCAGAAAACATTGATGGTAAGTAACACTTGTTTAGAGATGATCAGATGGACAGTATTCTAGCTTAACTTTTGATTTTGAATTTTTGATAGAAATTAAACGCTCTTAAGTTTGGGTGTTGCTCATATATTCTTCAGAAATTAAATGCTCTTAAATATGGGTGTTGCTCATATACTCTCAAGAGAAGCTCAGTGTAGTGGTTATCTGTTGTAAAACCCTGCCAGTAGGTTTCCACATAGTCAGCAAATGTTTAAGCACTGTGCTATACATATCCAAGCCTTCAGTATAGAAATATGAGTAAAACCAGGATCATTGTCCCTGAAGAGCTTATAGTCTAGTGGAGGAGACACATGTCGCTATGCTGTGTGGTGGATACTGTGGCACAGACACCGTTAGGGGATCATGGGGTTCGAATCCTAGAGCTGCTCGCTGAGCATGGGGAAGGGCAGGAGCAGCTTCTCAGAGTTGAGCTGGGCCTTACAGGGGAGTAGGAAGCTCCTGGGTAGGGGAAAGGGGGTGTGTGTGGTTCAGGCGCAGAAGGCAGACACGGGGACTAGAGAAGTTGAAATATTTGGGAAAGGCATGTCATTCGGTGCGGCTGGAGATGGAGGGGACAGTGGGTACTGAGGATCAAAGCCTGACCGTAGCAGGCCTTGCACGGCTTCCTGTAGGCACTCCTATAAGGAATGTATTTTAAAAGTGTAAAGAGTTTTAAGCAAGCATTAAAATGACTAGATTTGTAAGTTGGAAAGATGACTTAGGCCCCAGTGTTCTTGCAGTGCTATTTGTGAAGTGAACAAAGGATAAGATGGTTTAGACTCCTTGACTCTTAAAGCACCGTACTTTGTGCTTTGTACTTTATGTGTACTTTCTCGTGTATTCCTCCCTCTGGCCCTGTACATGGGACAGTTGAATATGGGAGATTTTAAGTAACTTGGATAATATCCTACTAAATAAGTAACAGGCCGGGCTCGGTGGCTTAGCCTGTAATCCCGCTCTTTGGGAGGCTGACGTGAGAGGATTGCCCGAGCCCGCGGGTTTGAGACCCGCCTGGGCAACTTGGCAAGACTTCATCTCTACAATAAATCAAAAAATTAGCTGGGTGTGGTAGCGCGTGCCTGTGGTTCCAGCTACTTGGAAGGCTGAGACTGAAGGATCGCCGGAGCCCAGCAGGTCAAGGCTGCGGTGGCCAGGAGCGGCCACTGCACTCCAGTCTGGGCGACAGGGTGAGACTCCAACTCAAAAATAAATAAATAAATAAGTAACAGAACTGTGATTTGAACCCAGCTCTATTTTAGCTGCAAGACCCCACCTGTGGTCTGAACAAAGATAGTGGCAGAGGGAAGGTGAAAGACAGATGATCACAAAGTGCCAGGCTCCTTGGAATTGGGGGTGAACACAGTTGTGGAGTCAAGGATAGTTCCTGACCTTCTGCCATTAGACAACTAATTGGTACTAGCGGAGAAGCAGCACATTTGTTTGTGTTTGTTTGCGAGAAGAATGGGAAATCAGAGGGCTGGTATCGAGTTTAGGGTAATATATAGGTAGGTTTATCCAACTGGCAGTTATGATAATGAAGAACAATAATGTGTTGTAAACTTTGTTTTTTAAAGTTGCTATCGATACCTGGTTATACAACACATAAAAGTAAAAACTGAATTTTTCTTTCACCTGAATCGCAAGCTAGCCTTACACTCCTGTGTATAAAACTCTGAAAAAGGTAGTTCTGTGGAAAATATTATGTTGGCTCAGTCTTAAGTTCCAAGCTAATTTAGAGATCTCACAATAGAGGAAGTGTCCATTATGATTAACTTGAGTTTGAGTCCCACTGCAATTATCATTCATCCTGTACAGTTTCATTAGGGTTATCAGGAAGTCACACTGACCTATCTGTGGCAAAATCCAGATGCCAGCCGTGGTAAGTGCAGACACACAGTTGAGTCCACAGACCTCAGTGAGACCGGGAACCCTACCAGCAGCTCCCAAAACAATGGTCCTGCGCAGTGGAATCTCCAAAACTGGTCTTGCGGTCAGGTGAAATTGGGCACTTCTGTAGTAATATTAGCTCATTAAAGATTCCTTGGTAAAAGATCCTTTAAATGAAGGAATAATTAAAGAAACTTTTCTTAAACCTCCCAATCTTAAGACTTACTTGACTGTGAGATTTTTTTCTGACTGATGTCTGTGAATGACCATAGAACTAGTGTTCTGAAGTACAGTTTTAGAGAGTCTTGCTGGACACGTGAATGCAACTTACTGGTTCTCACCTTTGTACGTTTGCTCTGTCTCTTGTCCCTTTCTGTAATACTCCTCCCTTTTCTCTCTACTTGGCAAAGTGGTACTTGGCTTTAAACACACTAGTTGAGATCCCTTTTCCGTCAGATTTCCCAAGCATCAGCTCACAATGATCTGTTTCTCCTAAACTCTTTGAGTATTTTTTCCTCTGATGCTCATTTGGTCTTTAAAATATGTTGTCTTGATTTGCTGTGTGTTAGTTAACTATGTGTTTCTTGTCAGTAGGATTATAAACTTCTCAGGACAGGCAGCCTATCCTGTTTCCCTCCTAGTCTAATACTGTGCCCATGTTAGGTACTCAAGATATGTTTGTTAAATTAATATTTGCACCCTCTACTTGGCTCAGTTGTTTCCACAATGGGGAAAACAAAGTAGGAGGAGGTTGGAAACAAGTCCTGTTGGTGCAGGAAACACAGCCGAAACAAGAGTTTGTAAATACTGCAAGTGTGGTATTGAACAAGTGGAAGCTGTAAGGTGAATAAGGAGATTATCGATGATCTCATAAAGAATGTTCTGGCATTTTTTGGTAGGCTTTACAATCACAGTTCTAACTTCCTCCTAACTATAGCGAGAGCAATAAATGTTATGCTGTTTTTAAAAAAATTAGAAATTGACAGTAAAGACTCTTGGTGGATTTTCAATTGTTTGGATTCAAGGAAGAAAGTAATGAACAACTGGAGGATTTTAGGGTTGGAATGTGATTCTCTGATCTTCTTTTTGACTCAAAGGCAATTATCTTAGTGATTATTAATTCTAATCTGAAAGACTTTGTAAAAGAGGACTAGTTGTAAATGGTGTAAACTGAAATAGGAATATTGCTAATCAGAAGAAACATTAACATTAGTTCACCGAATAATAGTAATCTTTAATATTAGTTATATTTTTTATTTTTTATATATATTTTATTTTAAAGATGCGGGGTACAATTCAGGATTAGGTATACTAATATTAGTTATTTTAAACTAGTTTTTAGTTCACGTCTTTTCATCCCACACTATATAGAAATTGACTCTTCATGTTGACAGGCATTCTGTTCTCTTGCTGAAAATTTTGACATAGTACCATAACATATCACCTGTGTGACTGCATCATAACTGTCTCTGACAGAACTTTGACTCCGGAAGTCGTGCAGAAGTGTTCTTTTCTGGTGCCAGAGACCTGCTCCTCTTGTGCCCACTCTTTCTCAGTGACTCTTGTTGAGGGTAGGACTAGTTATTGGGTTGTTAGAGGTGAAATGTTTTGAGGAGGCTAAGCCACTACTTGCTGGGATAGTGAGAAGAGCATGGGTGTGTCAGGTGGATGCCAGTGCTTTCTCAGAATTCCAAGATTCTGTTAAGAAATGTAGGGTCAGCCAGGCTCGGTGGCTCAGCCTGTAATCCCGCGCCTTTGGGAGGCTGAGGTGAGTGGATTGCCTGAGCCCGCGGGTTCGAGACCCGCCTGGGCAGCGAGACCTCATCTCTACAATAAATCAAAAAATCAGCTGGGCGTGGTAGCGCACACCTGTAATTCCGGCTACTTGGAAGGCTGAGGCGGAAGGATCGCCGGAGCCCGGCAGGTCGAGGCTGCGGTGGCCGGGAGCGGCCACTGCACTCCAGTCTGGGCGACAGAGTGAGACTCCAACTCAAAAAAAAAAAAGAAATGTAGGGTCAGTCTTTGAAGTGCACATTCTGCAGAATATATATTTGTAGAAACTTATCTATATTCTGTAGAAGCTGATATGTAGAAATGTTTTGGTTTTCCATTTTCTGCTCTTTTTGTCAGTGTTACATATGTTACTTGCCCTCTGCTAACCTATGACAGCTCAGTGATCCCACTAATTTAATAAAGAAGAGCTCACTACTTGTTGCTATCCATTTAATTCTCAACCAGCTGTAGATAAAATTGTAAATTTAACCTCTTAGTTTTAGCTCTGTCACTGGGGTTTCAGAACAATATTTTTTAAGCCTTGGACACATCACTGGGCAAAAAACAACTTCTTAAGTAAAATATCTCATTGTATAATGACACCAAGTAAGTTAAATTATTTGAAATTACCCTTTATAATAATAAAAGGATGCAAAATTGAGTAGGATTAGTCGTGAAATTGACTAATTGAAATTCATTTTATGGTATCTTTTGTAAAAGCTGTCCCTCTGATATGTCTTTCTAGGTAATGATCAACAATGGCTTTACACCAGATAAAAACGATTATGAATTTTGTGCCAAAGTGGAAAATATGGTCATCCCAGCACAAGGGTATTTTGGAATATCTGCTGCAACTGGAGGTCTTGCAGGTAAATCTTGTACTCTTAGTATTAGACGTTTGTGATTTGCATTTTATTGGGAATAGTACTCATTAGGGATCTATAGACTTGTTTGCTTCTAACCTTTTTTTTTTTTTTTTTGAGTTGGACTCTCACTCGGTCACCCAGACTGGAGTGCAGTGGCCGCTTCCGGCCACCGCAGCCTCGACCTTCTGGGCTCCGGCGATGCTTCTAACCTTTTAAGACTAATTGGAACCTTCCCGTAGTCTGTTGTGCCAGTCTCTTAGTCTGGTGAAACTGCTAATTCTCTACTTATATTGTTCTGTAGGTGTACAAATATCTGGGGCCACCTACAGATGTGTAAATTAGAGCATCAGTTTGAGCGCTGTTTTATAAAGAAGGAGACATATTTTAAATTGAGGCTATAAAAGGTTGATTGCCAAGTGTTTTAGGATCCTAAGAGTTGTTGTATCACATATAAATGAATTTGGCAACCTGAGGAAACATTGTTTGGGGACTAAACTTTAAAGAAAAATCTAGTTGCCATTTTTTTCCACATGTGGTGACAAATGAAGTTATCTTTCACTATCGATACAACTCTATGTTTAGATGGTTTGTAGGTTTAAGTATTTTCAAGTACAGTAAGTCCCCTAGATACGAACCTTCAGGTTACAAACTTTAACAATGTACACCTGTGCTTTTTTTTTTTTTTTTTTTTTTTCATTTGAGTTGGAATCTCACTCTGTCGCCCAGACTGGAGTGCAGTGGCCACTCCCAGCCACCGCAGCCTCGACCTGCTGGGCTCCGGCAATCCTTCCGCCTCAGCCTTCCGAGTAGCCGGAATTGCAGGCGCACGCTACCATGCCCGGCTAATTTTTGATTTATTGTAGAGATGAGGTCTCGTCTGCCCAGGCGGGTCGTGAACCCGCGGGCTCAGGCAGTCCACTCACCTCAGCCTCCCAAAGGCACGGGATTACAGGCTGAGCCATTGAGCCCAGCTACCTGTGCTTTTTTATGTATTATTTCTCTCCACCAGGTATCAGTATAACCTGTTAAATATTACATAAAGTACTATATAGCCAATTGTGTTAGTTGGGTACTGGGTACCTAGGCTAACTCTGTTGGACTTAAAACAAATTAGACTTCACCACACACTCTCAGAGCAGAAATTACTCATATGTTGGAAACTTCTGACAATCCAGGAAGGGGTGGAAGGAAGACAGATAAAATTTTCCATATTCTTGGATGAGTTTGCTAAATCTTAGATGAAAAGAGTTTCTGAAGATCAAGGTCTAGTAACAGTTAGCCCCAGGCCAGACTTGGTCTGGATTTATGAGTCCTGGGTTCAGTGCCCTAATACTTCACAGTTTCTAAAGTTGCCTAATCTACACTGAAGTATTATAATTGTCGTTTTAATTTGTCTACGTCTCTTCATCTCTATAAGGTCAGCAGAAAGCATAAAGATTGCGGTATACTTGAGATAAATCCCTCTGTTTTGTGGATGTGACTAGCCAGGATGAGTATTTTATTTTATTTATTTGTTTTAGTTGGGTCTCACTATATCAATCAGGCTGGAGTGCCCTGGCATGATCACAACCATCGTGGCTTATAGCAGCCTTATCCTTCTGGGCTCAGGAGACCCTTCCACTTCAGCATCCTGAATAGCTGGGACTATAGGCACGAGCCACCATGCCCACCTAATCTTTTTTATTTTTTGTAGAGACCAGGTTTCACTATATTGCCCAGATGGGTCTCAAACTCCTGGGCTCAAGCAGTCTGCCTGCCTTGGCCTCCCAAAGTGTTAGGATTACAGGCATGAGCCACCACACCCAGTCAGAATGGGTGTTTTAGTTCAGTGCTGTGAGGTTTGGTATGCTAAGTCCCTACTTTTAGGTTAAATAGTTTGAAGTTAATTTGATCTTTATATAATTTTAGATCAAATAAAATTATTAGTATCTTCTATGCGAGAGAAATAAATATGAAAGTAAGGCAAAACGTGGTATGTGCCATGAGAACGGTTCAGAGACAGAGAGTTATAGGAATTGCTTGGAGGCCAGGATTTTGTCTCATTTGTCTGGGACATTATCTATGAAGGAGGTTTAGAGGAAACTACAGGAGAATCTTGGTACCCAGATTAGGAGTTTGGACGACTTTTGGCCCTTCTTTTGTTGGGTCATTCCTTGTCTAACATATATTCACTGTCTATTGTTGCTTATTTATTTATTCATTCATTTACTTTTGGAGTTGGGGTCTCTGTCACCCAGGCTCAAATGTCCTGGCATGATCATGACGATCATGGCTCACAGCAACCACAACCTCCTGGACTCAGATGATCCTTCCACCTCAGCCTCCCAAGTAACTGGGATTATAGGCATGCACCACCACTCCTGAATAATTTTTTTTTTTTTTTTTTTTTTTTTTTTTTAGAGACAAGATTTCGCTATGTTACTCAGTCTGGTCTCAAACTTATGGGCTCAAGCAGTCTGCCCTCCTTGTCCTCCCAAAGTGCTGGGCTTATGGGCATGAGTTGCCAAGCCCAACCTATTATTTTTATTTATTTTTTGAATCGGAGCCTCTGTCACCCAAGCTAGAGTACAGTGGCACAATCATGGCTCACTGTAGACTCAACTTCCTGGGCTCAGGAAATTCTCCCATCTCAGCCATCTGCCTATCTTGGACTACAGATGTGCCCCCCCCCCCCTGGCTAATTTTTTTATCTTTTTTTTTTTTTTTCCTGTAGAGACGAGGTCTCGCTTTGTTTCCCAGGCTGATCTCAATCTCCTGGCTTCAAGTGATCCTCCTGCCTCAGCCTCAAAGTACTGGGATTATAGGCGTGAACCTCTGGGACTAGAGATAAACATCTAGTATATGTTAAACACTGCTAACTGCTCTTATTTAGGGTTTAAGAAAGTGAATTGTAGATTATTTCTGATGTCAGTTTTTGTCTCTAATCTCACAGAGTACCATTTCCTTTACCAAATTAGAGTTTATTTTTATTTCCCTTATTGATTATTGGTTTTTAAAGCAGTACATTTACAGCTATAGAAAAAATTTCTTATGAAACTTTTTCAGACCTTTTTCTTTAATTTGTAGATGACCATGATGTCCTTTCTTTTCTGACTTTCCAGTTGACTGAACCTGGGAAAGAGCTGGTAAGTGTATACATTTTTTTCAAAAAGTTTATCAGTGATTTAAAAGTGGTTTTGCCTTGTGGCTGAACATTTGGGAAGACTGGCTTAGGTTTGGGTCTTGTTTCTGCCAGTTACTGCTGTATGATCTTTGCAAATTACTGAACCTCTGTAAAGCTCTATTTCGTCATTGGTAAAACAGGTATTTGTACTGGCCATCTCCTTATGTTGAAGGATTAAATGAGACCGTGCACTTCTAGCAAGCATTCGGTAAATGGCAGTGGTGGTTGTTATTTTTATTATTAGTAGCAGCAAGAGTAAATTGGCTATGACTTAAGTAAGAAGTAATAGTTTTATGTGACCTTTCAGCCAGTGGTAGCATAGTATTAAAATAACACAAAGAACATATATTGAGTTATCTTACTGGTTTTCTTATGTTTTTTATTATCTATTCATAAACTCCAAAAAAAAAGCCTACACCAGATAAGGAAATCTCAGAAACAGAAAAAGAAAAGTATCAGGAGGAATTTGAGCACTTTCAACAAGAACTGGATAAAAAAAAAGAGGAATTCCAGAAGGGCCACCCTGACCTCCAAGGACAGCCTGGTGAGTTGCAGCGAAGCCGCCACTGGTGCCGCAGCAGGGGTCGTGGGTCATCCTGGACGCTCATGTCTGTGTGTGGCCTGGTTCATCCCTGCCACGTGCCCTGACCCGGCACGGTCCATGTTTTTCTGGAAACAGTTTATGAGCAAAATCTTCAGACTTTGAGGGTCTGGAGATTGGCATTTTTACCATTGAGAGTGTGGTATCGTGACGTGTGCAGTAAGGAGACTATGGTTAATGGTTGTGGATGATCAGGGAACCACTGGAGTGGAAGCTCAGTGAGGACAGGCTGTTGGTTTGCTGTATTCACTGCTGTGTCCCTAAACCTTAACAAAAACCCCAAACTTGCTGAACTAGTAGTCGAGGTCAGTAAGTATTTGTTGAATAAAATCATTGAAGTTTTATGTTTTTGCTTTTAGTGGCAAATAATTACCTCATAATACAGAGATAATATTGGAAAACTATCAGCATTATTATCAGAGTAATGTGAATTCCTATCTTTCTCTCGCCCTCTTACACTACTCTGTAGAATCCTGTACATTCGAGTTTGGAAATGGTGAAATATTAAAATGTAGTTAAGAATTTGAGTGTGCTGATGTCAAAAATACATAATTTAAGGCCAACTAGAGGGACTTTGTTTTATCTGCTAGCTTTTTTATCCGTGTCTTCCCTCATCAGCATAAATCATCAGTGTTGTACTTAATAGAGCCTGTGGTTAACATTTAAACTCTGTGTGGAGTCTGCAGTTCTCTAAATGATCAACAGTGTGATTTAGATTAATGAAGTTAAAAATGATATAAAAGTTATTCTTTTATAATTTGTTTTAAACATCAACACATATGATTCGTGAGTATATCCTGAAGCTCGTGGTGGTGTTTGAAGAGTATAGTTTGGTGAATTGACAGATGTGTGTACCCATTTAACCATCACCTAGATCAGTACATAGAACATTTTTATCACCCCAGAAAGTTCCCTCATGCCTCCTTAGGGTCAGCCCCCCTCATACAGAGCCTATCACTATTTTTATTTCTACAATTGTAGATTAGTTCTGCCTATTCATGTAAATGGGATCACACAGAATATATAAAGGAGAAAAATTTTTTTTTTTTTTTGAGTTGGAGTCTCACTCTGTCGCCCAGACTGGAGTGCAGCGGCCGCTCCCGGCCACCGCAGCCTCGACCTGCTAGGCTCCGGCGATCCTTCCACCTCAGCCTTCCAAGTAGCCGGAACTACAGGCGCGCACTACCACGCCCAGCTAATTTTTTAATTTTTTGTAGAGATGAGGTCTCGCCAAGTTGCCCAGGCGGGTCTCGAACCCGCGGGCTCAGGCAATCCACTCATCTCAGCTTCCTAAGGTGCGGGATTACAGGCTGAGCCACCGAGCCCAGCTTAGAAAAATTATTTTTAAATGAAAAAGGTCAGACCTAATTTATAATGTATTCAGCCACCAGAAATGGCAAAAACAAAGTAATTTAATCATGATTGAATTATCTGCATGTTTACCATTTGACAGATTATTCCATCATGCTGATAGTGTTCTAGTTTTAGTATTTGTTAGCACTTAGTCACAGCATTTAAAAAATTACATATATGTCAGTGGTCCTAATCATTTTAATTTGTAATTTCCATTTCAGCGGAGGAAATATTTGAGAGTGTAGGAGATCGTGAGCTGAGACAGGTTTTTGAAGGACAGAATCATATTCATCTTGAAATCAAGCAAGTGTTCCAAAAGATAGACATGATTCTTGACGAACAGAGAAGATGTGTCTCTTCCTTGACAGAGGAGATTGCCAGAAGAGGAGCAGGTGGCCTGGGACAGCACGGACAGGTAAGCTGGCCACACGTGCCGATGCACCTTGGTTAACTTTTGATGAGGGGAAGAGGCCATTGTGCTGAGTACGCATAGAATGTGGGTTACTGAACTCCCATCATTTTTATTTCCAGATCTCTCAACAAGAACTAGACACTGTTGTGAAAAGTCAGCAAGAGATTCTGAGACAAGTAAATGAAATGAAGTAAGTAGGTAAAAGTAGTGTCTGGGTGTTATGTGATGTCTTTATCCTAAATGTGTGACTTCTCAAGGTATACAAGCACACTGTATTATTGTGAGAATTCTACATGAGGAGAAGAATCACATTCTAGATTCACTTCACAAATAGGGGAATATAAATACAGCAGCTTTTAATATTGTGAAACTGCAGTATGTCTACATTTTTAAATTCTAAGCTGGAAAAGAAAAAAATGCTTTATCATCTTTAAAAAAAATAGGTTTGTCAGAGTTAAAACAGAGCCAGGAGTGTCCTTATTGTTATAAAATACAAAAAGAATATGAAGTAATATATAGCAATCCTATGAAAAACACTAGGAGAATAAGCATGTGTAGCATTGTAAGACTATAATACAAGCAGACTTGATGCAGGAAATTCTTTTTGATAGAAGGAAACTCTTTTCAAGGCAATGTATATTTCTATCTCTTTTTTATTTCCATCTTGTACCCTAAGAGGGAGGACACAAAAGGTTGGAGCCAGAGGAGATGTTGTGTTCTTAGAACGTTGAATGATAAAATTTCTAATAATAATGATTCACTTATGCAGATAATTAACAGCTTTCAATGCCTGGAGTAGGGAAAACAAACCAAAGTGTCACGTTTCCATGGGCTCATACTTTAGAGCATTGTCCCAACTGATACAACCCTTGACAAACAAGAATGTCAAGGTGAGTTCTTTAGGGCTGGAAAATTAAACAGGACTAGATTAAACAGAAGGTGATAATGCCTGATGTCTAGAGATTAAAGGCACTTAACTTATAACTGCAAATTTGTATTTTTTCAGCTTTGCTCTTTGGCATTTTAAAAAAACCTTCAAGCCGGGCTCGGTGGCTCAGCCTGTAATCCCGCGCCTTTGGGAGGCTGAGGTGAGTGGATTGCCTGAGCCCGCGGGTTCGAGACTCGCCTGGGCAGCGAGACCTCATCTCTACAATCAATCAAAAAATCAGCCGGACGTGGTAGAGCGCGCCTGTAATTCCGGCTACTCAGAAGGCTGAGGCAGAAGGATTGCCGGAGCCCAGCAGGTCAAGGCTGCGGTGGCCGGGAGCGGCCACTGCACTCCAGTCTGGGCTACAGAGTGAGACTCCAACTCTAAAAAAAAAAAACAAAAACAAAAAAAACCTTCAAATTGTGAATGTGCAACTGAACTATATATGATGCTAAATGAATAGTTTAACTATTCAAATAGTTTAGCTAAATGAATAGAACCCTTTTAGAAATAGACTGTAATGTTATGTAACATAATGGGTTTTTTTTAATTTTTAATTTTGATCTAATTTTAGTCTTCAGAAACTGCAAAAATAGTACAGAAAGTTTCTATATATCTGTCACTCATGTTCTTCTAATATTAATATCTTATATAACCATAGTATAATTCTCAGAACCAGGAAATTAACATTGATGCGGTACTATCAACTAAATTAATACCTGTTCAAACTTCAAGAGTTTTTCCACCAAGGCCTTTTATCTGTTCAAGGATCCTTTCCAGGATCACACATTGCATTTAGTTACTGTTTCTCTTTAGACATCTGCAGTCTACAGTAGTTCGTCTTTCCTTGTCTTTCATGACCCTGACATTGTCTAAGAGTTGTTTGGTCAAATATCTTTTGATTTGGGCTTTTCTGGTGTTTACTCATGAGTGAATAGAAGTTCTGCATTTTGATAAGGCCACCACAGTGCCTCATGTCATTGTGTTCATGGTTTCAGTATAACTTTTTTTGAATCAAACTCTCGCTTCGTCATTCAGGCAGGAGTGCAGTGACATGATCACATCTCCCTGCAGCTTCAACCTCCTGGGCTTGGGTGATTCTTCTGCCTCAGCCTCCCAAGTAACTAGGACTGTAGGCATTCACCACCACCACACCTGGCTAAATTATTTTGATTTTTTGTAGAGACGAATTCTGTGTTGCCCAGGCAGGTCTTGAGCTCCTGGGCTCAAGTAATCCTTTCGTCTTGGCCTCTCAAAGTGCTGGGATTACTGTCATGAGCCACTGTGCCTGGTCGTGGTGTTAGTATATCTTATTACTGGTAATGTTGGCCTGGCCATGATCACTTGGTTATGGTGGTTTCTTACTTATTTGACCACTTTAAAGTTACTGTCTTTTCCTTTGTGGTTAATATTCTGGAAAAGATATTTTGAGACTATTTAAGTATGCATTTCAAAGTTGTGCTTATTAATTTCAGCACCCATTGATGCTTCTTGAGTAAAACAAGAATGTGGTGTTTACCAAATGCTGATTTTTATATTTCTGTCATTCCCTCTACATTTATTAATTGGAATTCTACTGTAAGGACCAACTGTCCCTTCTCTCCTGTTTATTTAGTGAGTTATTTATACCAGAGCAGACTCATGGGCATTTATTCTGCAAGTTATGCTTTAACACTATCATCATATATTTTGCTGCTCAGGTTGTTTCAAGTTTGGCCTTATGAGCTCCTCTAGGTTGGCTTCTTTGTTTTTTCAACAAACCTGCATCTTTTTTAGCCCTTTTTTTACTTTCTGGTACTACATTTCCAAGCTCATCTTGTATTTTATCTGCCCCAGTTCTGGAATCAACCACGTCTCTAGTGAGCCTTATTTGTTTGTTTGTTTGGTTGGTTTGGTTTGTAGAAAGGTACTTAAAAACCAACATCTGGGCACTAGGTGTGCTCATTACTGTTGAGGTGCCATTGCCTCTATGCCCTCCCGGTGGACAGAGCTAGAAAATGTGTATGTATACTAGCCCATGAATATACACACATCAGTATTTCTGTGTCTCTCAGTCTATTTTTGTGTTAAACTATGAGATTATATAGATATTTTAGATTCCAATCAGACTGGACAACACTGAACACTACAAGGTTGACTTTTAACCTTCTTCCTTGACCTATTTGAAATTTCTTTCTCCATCTGGGAGAAACCTGTTCTTACTATCTATATCTATAATTTATTTCTTTATCAGCCCAATTTTAGTGGGTACATAAGTACACTTAAAGTGGTTTCAAATTGCTGGGTACAGTGGCTATAATCCTAGCACTTTGGGAGGCTAAATGGGAGGATTGCTTGAGCTCAGGAGTTTGAGACCAGCTTGGAGAACATAGTAAGACCACGTCTCCACAAAAAATAAAAAATTAGCTGGGTGTGGTGGTACATGCCTATAGTCCCAGCTACTCAGGAGGCTGAGGTAGAAGGATTGCCTGAGCCCAGGAGGTTGGGGCTGTGGTGAGCTTTGATTGTAGCACTGCACTTCAGCCTGGGTGACAGAGTGAGACCCTAACACAAAAAAAAAAAATCACTAACCCATATTTCTGTGAGCAATGTTTATGTAAAGTTCCTTTCACCTCTAACTTTGTAGTATCCAGCCCAGATAGTATTTTCCAGATAGTTTCTTAGTTTAGTTCTCTTCTTCCCTACTGTCTTCAGTATGGTTAGTGTTATTATTTATGATCGTTTATTTCTTTGTTAGTGTTTATATTCTCCACATCCTGGTTGAAATTGTTTATACTGTATTCTGAGTATATGAATACTATGATTCTAAGAGGCAGAGTGCAAAATGTGTGAGTGTGTGTGTGTTTGTGTGTGTGTGTATGTGTGTATACATACGTGTATCACTTCTTCATCCCTAAGACCCCCTTCCCATTCTCCTCTTCTTTCCAGCCTTTCCCACCCTCTCCCTCTTGGTAACCAATTGTGTTAGTTTCTGGTTTGTTTTCCTTTATTTCTTTCGTACATGTGTGTTTTCTTAAATTCTTTCTTCTAGATACTCTTGGGTTTTTCTGGTTTCACTTAGCCAGTAGTACTAGAACATCTTGAAATTCAACTAGTGGTTAGGAAGTTCCAGCCATCCAGTTGTATTATTCATGAAATCATTTCCTTGGTGTAGCACCAATCCTTGCAACTACCCTAAGGTAATTTTAACCACACTTACTAGTTGAGAATAAATGTCATGCATATAATAAGTTAATGTAAAAACTAAACTCAAATTTCTGAATTAGTCCTCTAAAGCTTTTTCTTTAGGATGTAGCTTCAGAAACAATGTAAAAAAGATAGGAAATATTTGCCTTTTATGAAAAGGGTGGTTTGTATCTTTGTAGATTTTATATTACTAAGGAATCATAGAAATTTTTTTTTGTTAGCACAAAGAGATCTTTAGAAGCATGTAGCAGTTGATGCCTTTTTCCACTTCTGCATCTCAGAACTTCCTTTCTATGACTTCTTTTTTTTTTTTTTTTTGAGTTGGAGTCTCACTCTGTCACCCAGACTGGAGTGCAGTGGCCACTCCCGGCCACCGCAGCCTCAACCCGCTGGGCTCCAGCGATCCTTCACCTCAGCCTTCCAAGTAGCTGGAACTACAGGCGCACGCTACCACGCCCGGCTACTTTTTTGATTTATTGTAGAGATGAGGTCTTGCCAAGTTGCCCAGGCCGGTCTCGAACCTTCGGGCTCAGGCAATCCACTCACCTCGGCCTCCCAAAACGCGGGGATTACAGGCTGAGCCACCAGGCCTGGCCCCTTTCTGTGACTTCTAACAAACACCCACGCTGAGTGTTCTTTGCCTGTCTACTTCCATTTAGTTTTCTTCACTGGGGCTGTCCTTCCATCATCCCTTCGGTGCTGTTTGTCTCAGGGGCTCTGTCCCGCCCTCTTTCCCTCGACCCGTTTCCTGACTAATATGCCCTCCTTCCACCACAGTGCCTTCTGCATCAACTTCTCATCCTGTAACGCTCAGCTCAGGATGCCAAGCTAGATTCGGTGCATCTTGCTTTGCATGCTTCTATCACATTGCCCTCCTGCTACACTGTTAGTCTCAGCAGGGCAGGAATTTATTTTTTTGCTAAGTTTATAGCCCTAAAAAGTATCTGGCTTATAACATGTGCCAAATGTCAGCAGAATCAGCAGGCAAATGAATGAATGATTGAATTGGCGCACATTAAATTTTTGTTTTTTTTTGAGTTGGAGTCTCACTCTGTCGCCCAGACTGGAGTGCAGTGGCCGCTGCCAGCCACCGCAGCCTCGACCTGCTGGGCTCCGGTGATCCTTCCGCCTCAGCCTTCCGAGTAGCTGGAACTACGGGTGCGCACTACCACGCCCGGCTGATTTTTTGATTTATTGTAGAGATGAGGTCTCGCCTGCCCAGGTGGGTCTCGAACCTGCGGGCTCAGGCAATCCACTCGCCTCAGCCTCCCAAA